ACACCTTTCCCACGGTCCTCGTGACAGTGCCGTGGTGGTTCCCGTCCATCTCACAGCTCAGGGAGGTTCAGAAAACTGCCTGAGGTCTCAGTGCTGTGGGTGACAGAGCTGGGATGCAGGCACGGGGTGGCCCCTGACCCAGCCTCCGCTGTGGCTCGGAGGGGCCGTCCTGGCGGTGCATGTCAGGCTCAGCGAGCTCCAGGGGGTGTTCTAGGGCGCAGCCCGCAGGAATTTGCTGAGGATCCTAGCAAATGAGTCTGAGTGCAGTGAGAGGTGCAGAGCAGAGGTTTGGGGGCTGAGAGTGGAACCCAGGAGAGCATGGGGCTGGCACGCACGCGGCCCTGACGTCCATCCCCAGTGATGCTGAAATAAAACAGAAAAGGATTTGAAAGCAGAGTGACACGGTCGAGTCCAATACCGGGAAGTAGCGGGTGCCATGTTTGCAGGTGACCAGCCTTGGCACTGGTGCCCCGAGCTGGTAGAGCAGCGCCGTCCGCACGAGGGTGGCCTGCAGCTGGATTAGCAGCCGCTTCTCGGTTTATTTTTGTTTCCTGTTCTCGGGTAAAACCTCCCTCTCCCTCTCGTATGACTCTAGGGTGAAGCTTCAACAAAGTGCTCAAATGGCTCAGGGTTCAGACTCGCTCGCATTTGAACGGGTGTGCAGGAAATGCTTATAGCAGTGTTCGGCCTCTTCCAAGACAGGTGCGCTGTTTCAGTTCCAGGACCTTCTGCGTGCGCTCCGGGGACCTCAGACGCCACATATCTGTGGTGCGACCTTTCACGGCACTGCGGGTCTGGATCTAAGAGGACAGGCTGGGCAGCAGAGCGCACCTGAAGCCCCACACTCTGTTAGGCCGAGGCAAGAGGACCATAGGTTCAAGGCCAGCCTGGGCAACTTAGTGATCTTTCGAAACTGGTCTTCTCGGGCACCTCCTTCACCACCCTGATGCCTCTGCACAGGCCCTGCTCCCCCTGTCAGTCATGATTGTCCACCCGTGGCCACAGCACCGGCTTCCTGCCTTCTCCTCCCATGGGGACCGGCACCATCAGCTCTTAAACGTCACAGTCATGTGCTGTGCCGCCGACGGCTTTGCGTGGCAGTGCACCGTGGAGTGGAGGCTGCTGGCAGGGAGCCAAGCCGAAGTTCAAGTGCTGGGAGCACAGCTGCCGTAGGTGTTTCTGCTAGCTATAGGAGCAAGACAGGTGCTGATTCAGAACAGGATACGAGCTTGGCTGGTGAGAACCTGCCACGGCCCCTGGGTGCGCCGGGAGATGAGATTGCATGGAGGCCTTGACATAAGCTTGCCAGGCCCACGGGTGACGGTGGGCCCTGCCAGACCAGGCCCACACAGCTCTTGGACCTAAGGCGCTGAAAGAGCCAGCTCGCTTCTTTTTCTTTCTCGTTCTTTTTATAGTGTTGGAGTCAAACCCAAAGCACAGATCCACTAGGCAAGCGCTCCACTCAGAGTTGCACTTCCCATGCTTGTTTAGCTGTTTGAGAGAGGATCTCGCCGTGTTGGCCAGGCTGGCCTAGAACTCCTGGGCGCAAGCAGTCCTCCTGCCTCAGCCTTTCCCGTACCTGGGACCACAGGTGCTACCGTGCCGGGCAAAGGACTCTTGTGGCTCAGTGTGCAACCTTTGTGCTCCAGGGCCCCCTCGAGCTCCTGCCTGTAGAATCCGGATCCCTGCTGTTCTGCCTGCCTACCACTCCCCACCAACAGAATTTAGCCCTGGTGGGAGACTCAAAAGCACCTCTTTCTGGAATGAGCAGGCAAATGCCATGGTCGCGGGGGTCCAGGGCTTTGCCAGGACCCCTCAGTCCTCATCTCAAGCCCCTCAGTGCAGGGAGTAGTAACACAAGAGCTGTCCCAGACGGGGTGGTGGTGCATGTATTCAGGAGGCTGAGCCAGGAGGATTACCATAAGTTTGAGGCCAGTGTGGGCTGCATAGTAAGTTCAGGGCCAGCCTAAACTACAGAGCAAGACTCTGTCCCAAAAAAAGAAAAAAAAAAAAGAGCTGACTTTTCCAGGTGCCACCATCACCTGTGATCAGCGTATGACCCATGGGGTGGTCAGCTTCAGGCAGGACAGGCTAGGTGAGAGGCACTGTCCAGCTGAGGCGGCAGTACCCTCAGCGAAGGGGGAAGAGTCGACCGAAGCGGGGCTGCGAGCAGGGCTGAGCACAGCCTGGGCCAGGGTGGGGCCCCGGGCAGACGGGGGAGGGGCTTGGCGGGAGGGGTGGGGGGAGCATTGGATCCTGGGAGGCCTGGCTTAGGCTCTGTCCCGGCTCGCCCCGTGTAGTGATGTGAGAGCGGCCAGTGGCGAGGAGGAACCTGGAGTGGGGCAGCCGTGTGGGTGCTGCACCAGGGTGGGGTGTGGTTATCCAGAGGAGACACTGATTTTGGTCCTGGGAGCTGCCGGGCCACTGTTGCATGCAGACACAGAGCAATGAGGACCCGAGGTCCTGGTGCCGCAGAGGGAATGTCCATTTGCCAGCAGGTAGAACAAGAGGACGCAGATGTTGTTGGCCTGGGTAATACATTTCATTGAATCTAGGATGTCCAAATATTGTCGTTTCTGTTTGCATTGTTACTGTTTTGAGATGGGTACTCCAGGCTGGCCTTGAACTCTCAGTGATCCTCCTACCTCCGCCTCCCAAGTGCGGGATCATAGATGTGCACCACCATGCCTGGCTCAAAACGTTATCATTTCAACTCGCACACACACAATAGTTTAAAATGGTGCAAGAGGCTGGCATGCAGCTCAGTAGTAGAGCACAGATTTAGCTTACAAGGCCCTGAGTTGGATCCCAGCACATGTACAGTGACTAGAGACATTTGAGTGTCCCAAGCCTTTAAAATCTGACATGTGTGCACAGCGGAGCCTGGAATGTGGACAGGGCAGCCCGGAGTGGGGTGCTGGGTGGAGGGAGAGAGAGGGCGTGTCTGTGTCCATCCTGTCCTGGCAGGGGCACCTCCTGGCCGGCCCAGCTCCCTTGGCTTTGTCCTGGTAGCATTGGAGCCCAGTGCCCTGAACAGGGTGGGCAGACCCATCAGGCAGGCAACAGTGACTGTGCGCAGGCACTTTGTCACGTGGGAAATGGCAGGTGCGTCCCAAAAGTCCCGCAGCACCTCTGCTCCCAGGAGGAAGGTTGTGAGGACCCGTGCCACAGCCTGAGACAGGAATAACAGAGAAGCTGGAGAGGGGCCAGGTCCCGGGTGGCAGGCCTCATAGGGCCCCTCGCCCTCTGACCTTGGGTCCTGGCTCCGTAATGGAGGACTGTGGTGGGGATATAAGCAGACGAGCCAGAGAGAACGAGCACACAGTCTCACGGTCACCACTGGAGGGAGGAAGCCTCCATGTGGCCCAAGGGTGCAAGGCTCTGGGACAGAGAGGGGTGGATCCCGCGGCAGAGGTCAGACCGCAGGCGCCTGGGGAATGGCTGGCCGGGGCGGGAGGCTCTGACACCCGGCCTTGTTCAGGCTCGGAACGCAGGCCTCGCCTCTGCACAGTTGTCGTAGGTAAATTGTACCCTGAGAAAAGCAGTAGGAAAATACAGACCTCCACTTAGTGACTTGCACGTTGAAGTATCTAGGGGAAAAGGGGTGCTGATGCCTGCAACTTACCTTTGACGTCCAACCAAAAGAAAGATGGCTGGATGGCTGGGTGGGAGATCCATGGATGAGAGACGGATGGCTGGGTGGGCAGATAGATGGTGCACAAGAGATGGATAGGTCGTAAAGAAGCAGCAGAGTAGAATGTGACTGGTAGTGGGTATATGGGAATCCCCTATAAACTTCCACCAGCTTTTCTGTATACGTGATGATTTTCATAACGAATGGGGGGAGGGATTCAGTAATGTTTCTAAAGTACCTGACACAAAATTCACAGCAAGTGTTAATGCAGTTTCATTACTTTCCCAGTGTGGACCTGCAAAAGACACATATTTAAAAAAGAAAAACAACTGAGCTGGGTGTGGTGGTGCACACCTGTAATTCTAGCACTTGGGGAACTGAGGCAGGATGATTGCTGTGAATTCGAGGTCAGCCTGGGTTACAAAGTGAGCTCAAGGCCAGCGTGAACTGCATAATGAGACACTGACTCAAAAAGACAAACAAAAAACTAAAATATACTTTTAGCTGGGTGTGGTAGCACACACCTGTAACCCCAGCACTCGGGAGGCTGAGGCTGGAGGCTCGTTGTGAGTTCAAGGCCAGCCTGAACTGCATAGCGAGACCCTGTCTCCAAAAAAAAAAAAGTGTATTTTGTCCATATGAAATGGAGGGAGAAGTTACCTCCCAGAGCAAGACCTCCCCACCAGAATTTAATTGGAGATAATATAGTTTCCCACCCCCAGCAAACTCTTCATTTTCCCCCAGCAGGGACCCTGACTCACTTCACTTTGTGTCCTTAGGTGAGGGGTGTCAGCCCATGAACAGGAAAGCAGGTGTTATCTCGTTGATATGTTCCTCTTCTAACAGGATTAATACCTGGTGTTTACGAGTCACCAGCCCCCTGCATTCCAGGCAAGCATGTGACCACTGAGGTAGACATCCAGCCCTTTTAGTTTTTATTTGTTTTTTTATGTTGAGATAGGATCTTGCTTAAATTGCCCAGGCTGGCCTCGAACTTGCTATCTTCCTGCCTCAGCCCCCAGAGTAGCCAGAATTACCAGTGTGTGCTACCACACCCAACATGAGTCAGCCTTTGAAAGATGGTGTGCGTGTGCATGTGCATTAGTAAGACACTCAGCTCAGCATTATCTGCACACACAGAGGCAGTCCTTTGGATGGAGGGCTGAAGTTTTAGGCCAGGTAGGTGAACTTCCACTTCCAGCCAAGATAGAGTAACAAAGACCTGATTTACCCCTACTGAAAACAACTAAAGTACCAGCCAAGAAAACTGGTTTCCAAGACACCGGACACCAGGCAGCAAGGGACAGGAGTGTAAGAAACAGGAATCACACGTGGGGACTCCCACGCTGGTCTTGCTGTCTGCTAGGAAGGTGCGTCCAGGCCACAACGTAGGCCGGAAGACCCAGGCCAAGCCAGCACCCAGCCGCAGTTGGAGCAAAGCAGACAGAGCCACGTCCAGGGAGGGGACGCCAGAGATTTGCTGGAGCTCCCCTGGAGGGAACCACCAAGGCCAGGCGAGAGCAGGGCCCAAGGGGACGCTTCTCAAAATGCAGACAGGCCGGGAGCTGCTCCCAGGCCCAGCCCAAGCAGAAACCCTCCCAAGCCATATTGCACAGCAGGCCTGCCAGAGGCTGAAAGCGGGACTCACAAGAGTCCAGCAGCGCCTGTGTGGACCAGCGGCATCTCAAAACACAGCTCCGGAACATGTGTGAACTATGAAACATGCAGCACCAACCAGGTAAGTTTGCCCTGCCTGGCCCGAATCCGGACTTAATGAGAGAGCAGAGAAGCAGGGAAGTGGCAAAAGGGGGCGTGGGCAGGAAGCAGCAGCAGCTGACTGGAGGTGGTGCAGACGGGAAGGGCCAGGTGGCTGGAGCTTTGTATGATCAGGGCGCCGGGGGCGAGATCCAACACGTGAGATAAATGGGAGACTCAGAAAACGGACATTGCCAGAGATGGAAATTTCAGTATCTGAGATGAAGAAAACCACCCTAGATGGGATTTTGAATGGCAGAGCAGACATTGTACAAAGAAAGACTCTTGAACTTGGAGGCACAGCGGTGAAAGCCACGTGAGGGAGACAGAATGTTGTGGTAAAGGCATTTATTTAATTGAGTCACCCGTGGAGGCGGATGCAGAGACCAGCAAGTTTACTGGGGGCCGGTGGTGGGCACCCACCCTGAAGGGCAGGAGGAGAGAACAGTTACACGGTTCTAGTTCCAGGTCTAGTTCCAGGTCTGGGGGCGCGGGGTGCCGCTATAGAAAGACTACAAAGCATGTGCTCAGCTTGTGACAAAGGAGCAAAGGTGCTTGACCTTTTACATAGGGACAGGCAGTGTTATGACAGAGCATGGGATGGTGTCAGCTTAGGGAACCGTGACCACATTTACAAGAAACAAACTTAAGGAAACAGAAATTTAAGCTTTAAAATGGCACTGAAACACCAATGGCACTGGTTTAATTTTCTTTCCCATATCATTCCCCCTTAAAGGACACTCTCCTCTTAATAAGCTGGTGAGGTGTCCTTAAATTTATCTACAGAGGTTGATATGCAGGATTTTCTGCCAACCCCAGCAGTTGTACCTGATCCAGTCCAGCTTCAATTCTTCCTATCACCCTTTTGACTAGGCAGGGCCCAATCACAAGTAAGCCTGTACAGATCAAGGGCTCAGCCAGGCTTGTCAGTGAAGAAGGGAGCCAGGGATTCCGATTGTACATCTGGGCATACCACCCTTGGGGATTTTGGCGGTCTTTTGCTCTCTTGTTGAGGTACTCACGGACCCTGCCTAAGTCTCTCTGATGATTCTGGACTTACTGGCATAAAAACGGCAGTTTTAAATAAATTCCTAGTGGGGTTACTGGTGGTGGTAGCGGGTGAGGGTCTGGCTCTGAATTGGAACAAGGTATGTGCAAATTGTCCTGAAACCCAAGATCTGACTTTATGGGGGAGCAGATCGAGGCCCGGATGACTTTACAAATAGTAATAAACATTTTTGGGTCATCTCTTAGCAAATAAAGTCTAACTCATCTGTGGAGTCACAGCTATTGGCCTGGTCGCCTGGGTGAAAATAAATCCCAACTGGATTTATCTCATCTTTTAACCTTTTGTTAGGGCCCCACAGGCAAGAAAGGCTCTCCATCCTTGTGTGGGTCAATGAATCTCAAGGAATGTCAACCCTCCAGGCCAGTCTCATTTAGAATCACTCCCCCAGTGTCCCCGTTACTGTGAACTTTTAAACCAGTTCTGTGGCCTGACCTGGCCACAGACTGGAGGAGGAGCAGGAAGAGGGTGACATGGACAGTCAGCTTGATGCTGGTGTTGCCTCTCTCGGGGAGGAGGGGGTGTCTTGTTGTTTGGCAGGGTTGGCTTGCCGTGAGGTCTGGTTTCAGTCCATCATTTGACATGAGAGTGATGGTGCCACCGAACAAGCCGTGAAACTTTAAGAGCAGTGGGGCTAGTTAGTATGACTTCATAGGCTCCACCGTCTAGACTGGATGGGCTCATCCTTCCAGCCCTAGACCACAACTAGGTCCCAAGGCTGGAGAGGATGCAAGGGTGTGTGCAAAGGGGTTGGGTGATGTTCCAGGATAGTCTGTCATAGCCTCTCCAGGACCCAATGAAGTGCCTTCATCTGGCAATGAAGGTCAGTTGATCTAGCTTCTTGGCGTCCTTTTATCATGGGCATTAATGAGGGAGACATTAATCATTAATGGTTGTGGGGAGTCCGTATTGGCACGATCAACTCCAAAATGACCTTAGTTACCTTTCTCAAAGTTTTAGTCCTAGTCGGGACAGCCTCCACCCAGCCTGAGGAGGTGCAAATCAGGACTAACAGGTACTTTTGATTACCAGTTCTTGGCTTGACCTCAGTGAAGTCCACCTCAGCATCCTCAAAGGGGGTGGTCCTGTACCTCCTGATGCCAGACTGGTGGTGCGGCTGGGGAGCAGGGTTGCTGTGTGCACAAAGTTCACATCTCTCAGGCACAGAGGAGCACAGTGCCCAAAGTCTGGCAATATAAAAATACTAGTGAAGCAACTCTGCATAGGAGTTTTTTCCAAAGGAGTGCAGGTATGTAGGTCCTGTATCACAAAATGTCCCACAGACTCAGGAAGGAACGCAATCTCTCCTGGCGGCACTTGTCACCCATTTTTATCAGTGCCTCCCTCTGACTCAGCCCACTTTAACTCAGTCTCTGAATAGGAAGGTCCTCTTAGATAGAGTGCTACAAGTACTTTTTCAGGAACAGAGATCTCCAGATTGGCCACCTGTTTTGTTGCTAAATCCATGGCACAGTTGCCCTGGGTGTCTAAAGACTCCCCCCTTTGGTGGCCAGGCAGTGTATAAAGGCCACCCTTTTTGGCAGCCAGACTGTGTGTAGCAACCCTAAATCTTGTGAATTTTTTTTGTTCGTTTTTTTTTGTTTTTTTTTTTTGGTTTTTCTCCGGTACCAGGAACCGAACTCATGACCTTGCGCTTGCCAGGCAGGCGCTTTTGCCGCTGAGCTAAATCCCCAGCCCCTAGTCGTGTGAATTTTTGACATTTTTTTTTTACCTGTTGTCAGGAGCCCTCTTTCTCTGTATATGGCCCCATGCGTGTGGAGGGCAGCAAAAGCATAGGAGTCGGTATAGATATTGACCTGTTGGTTCTTTTCCAATTTCAAAGCCCAGGTGAGGGCTATCAGCTTGACTTTTGGGGCTAATGTCCCAGGGGGAAGTGTTTTTGATTCAACAGTTTCATCTATTGTGACAACAACAGCTCCCACCCTCCAGACCCCATCTCTTACCAAACTGTTGTCCTCTGAAAACAGAGTCAGATTGGGGTTCTGGAGGGTGAATCTTGGAGGTCCGGTTGTGCCGAGTGGACCATCTTGATTGATTCGACGCAGTCGTGTTTTGTAGCCCCATGGATGTGGGCAGCAGTGAGGCCAGGATGAGAGCGTGGATGGTTGCTGTGGTTACCTGGGTCCTCAAGAAGGGCCCCCTGGTATTGGGCCAGTTGGGTTCCTGATGGCCATTTGCCATCAGGACCCCTACATAGGGTTTTAACTGCATGAGGGGCATATACCTTTACAGTCTGGCCCAGGTTCAGCTTGTTGGCCTCTTTTACCAGGATGGCAGTGGCAGCCATGGCCTGTAGGCAGGGAGGCTAACCTGCTGCCACTGGGTCTAGCTCCTTAGACAGGTATGCCACAGGACAACGCCAAGGTCCCAGATGACCCGAACTGCATCCTCCCCGTGTCTGGGAGGGCCAACGCTGGGGTGCCTAACAACTGCCTTTGGAGTTGCAGGCAGACATTAGGCTTGACTAAAAGGCACCAAATCCTTGGACAAGGCTTTATTTAAAACTCAACTGACTTACTAACAGATATCTTTACTTTAGTAGGTAATAGTTACAGTTTAAAGATTTTTTTCATAAACATAGTCTGGTTTTACTCACTTTACTTTTTATTTTTTCATCTATGAAAAATACTATCAACCCTTTCTTTACCCTTGAAGCCTGATGCCAGTTACTAGACACTTGGAGAGGGGCTACCAGTGATTTCTATGATGTAGAAAGGATGCTTAAATCATTTCAAAGAAAAATTTTTGATACACACTATATTTTATAGTGTAGGTGTCTTGGTTACTTTTCTCTCGTTGCTGGGACAAAATTCCTGATGCCCAAAATTAAGGAAGTAAAAGTTTATTTCGCTTACAGTTAGCGGAGGTTTCAGTCCATACTTGACAGATTACAAGGCAGAGTGGCACATGGCAGAGGGCAACAGCTCATGGCAGCAGAAAATGGCAAAAGCAACGAACACCCACAAGGGCGGAATGGTCTCAAGCAGCCTCTTCCTCTCCCTTACATGTGCAAACTGTCCACCACAGGGTGGGTGTAGCTCTCACACCCATAATCAATCAAACTCTAAAAGCCTGTCCCATGACCGCATGAGGCTTTGGGGGGACACACAGACACAAACCATAACAGTAGGTTTTCAATATAGACAGTTATTTCTGACTTGTGCTAAGTTTTTAGGAACAATAAACACACATGCATACAGAGACACACTCTTTTTAGTTACACGCTTAAGACCAGAGGTTACTTGTGCAAGACAATGGAACCAAGAAAATTTGGGTGCTAAGTGTATCAGGCCCAGTGATATTACAGTTCTCAAGGCCTAATTTTTCTCTAGAGAGTGGGCTCAAGATCATGTCTTTAACATTTTTAACTCTGAAGTGAGATTAAAAACCTTTCTGCATTTGATTGTAAAAGTTTTGAACAGTTTTTTTTTTCCTGTACCATTACTCATGTAAATGATAAATACTTCACAGTATCAAAACCAAAAATGTCAGGGTTGAGCACCTTTTTAAAACAAAATATTTACTCTAGCTTTATTTGCTGCTTCAGTAATCAGGACATAATTGTTATAGGGAAACCTTTATATAATGCTTTAGGAAAATTATAGATAAAAGGCTGTTTGTCCCTCACCTTTCACTCTATAATTTGTGTTTTACTTTTAAGCCCAAATTATTTCACACAGTTATTTGTTTAAATGTCTGTAGTAAAGCTCTGTTACAGCAAACTGGATTTTTAAAACAGGTTAGCCAAGGGTCACATTACACCATAGACTGTAAAGGTAAGAAGGAATTTGTTGCTTTAACAAATGTAAAAAATGTCAGATATTGGTACTGTCCTGCGAGGTTTTTACAAATGGGAACCTGTGGCTAAACCATCCTTTATTCTCCACATGTGATAG